GGGGAAGCCGCAAAGGCAAAGGTGCTGACAGTGCGTCCCACCCCAGACCACAAGTCGTACGACTGCATGACCAACACCACCATGTGTGGAGACGAGGCCCAGTGCATTCAGTCGCGGTCCACCACGTACTGCACATGCCGCAGAGGCTTCCAGAAGGTGCCGGACAAGAATTCCTGCCAAGGTACTTCCCGCCGCTGCCAGAGAGGGCTTGGGGTTGGGCCGTTGGGTTTATGGTTCGTTTTTGCCCATAAGATGCGTCTTCACGCCTGTGGGGTGGCTGGGGTGTCAGAAATGGTGTCCTTGGGGCACAAACGTGGGGAATGGGGAGAGACGGGGGTTTCTGAGCCCTGGGTAGCGCAGACCAGCCCCCAGAGAGTGTGCGTGGGGGCACCCTCCCAGTCCCGCCCTTGACTCCCGTCTCCCACTGCCCAGATGTCAACGAGTGCCTGCGCTTTGGGACCTGCTCTCAACTCTGCAACAACACCAAGGGCTCCCACGTCTGCAGCTGCGCCAAGAACTTCATGAAGACGGACAACATGTGCAAGGCGGAAGGTCAGGCAGGAACAGGGGCACGCAAAGATCCTGTGCAGGACCCAGCCGCTTCCCTGCTCCTCCTCCTCCTCCTCCCCCTGCACCTCTTCCTTCTGGCACTGCTGAGGGCAGGCGCCGGGCTCTGCCGGTGCCGTCAGTCTGTCCTTCCCTGGCAGAGCAAGCCCCAGGGGGATGCCAAGCTCCCAGCGACCGCGTCCCCTGCCCCACCGTGGAGCTGGGCTGACCGCTCCTGGGCCAGCCCGTGCCAACAGCTCCTCCTCCGCAGGCTCCGAGCACCAAATCCTCTACATCGCGGACGACAACAAGATCCGGAGCATGTACCCCTTCAACCCCAACTCAGCCTACGAGCCAGCCTTCCAGGGCGATGAGAACGTGCGCATCGACGCCATGGACATCTACGTCAAGGGCAACAAGATCTACTGGACCAACTGGCACACGGGCAGGATCTCATACCGGGAGCTGCCCGCCTCTTCCGCTGCCTCCACCGCCTCCAACCGCAACCGGCGCCAGATCGATGGCGGCGTCACCCACCTGAATGTGAGTTCTATCAGGGGCACGGCGGGAGGCCCCGAGGCCGGGCTGCCAGCGTCCTCTGCTCTCACCTCTGCCCCCTTTCTGCCCTTCCCAGATCTCAGGGCTGAAGATGCCACGGGGAATTGCCATCGACTGGGTTGCTGGGAACATCTACTGGACAGACTCGGGGCGGGATGTCATTGAGGTGGCACAGATGAAAGGCGAGAATCGCAAGACACTGATCTCAGGCATGATCGATGAGCCCCACGCCATCGTAGTCGACCCACTTAGGGGGTGAGAGCCCTTTCTCCCTTCCCTCTGCCCAGCCCTCACCCCGGCTCCTCTCACCAACAAGCCCGTCCGTGGTGGAAGCTCCCAGTGCCCGCACGTTGCTCTCCATGTCAGCTCGAGTTGCTGCGCCTTGGAGTCAGCTGGCCCGTGGGGGTCACGTCAGTGACCCTAGGACGCTGTGGGGAGAACGCCGGAGGGTTTCTCCGCCGATGGGGCGTCGAACTGTCCTGCTCTTCCCCTCCTTGCTCCCCTACCGGGAATGACCTGCCCGTGTCCTTCACAGGACTATGTACTGGTCAGACTGGGGCAATCACCCCAAGATCGAGACGGCTGCTATGGACGGGACGCTGCGCGAGACCCTGGTGCAGGACAACATCCAGTGGCCAACAGGTGAACAAAGGCGGGTGCCAGGAGGGGCACGAGGGGAGGCGAAAGCCTTCACAGGAGGGACGTACAGCCCGCTCGTGTTGGGGAGGCTCGGCCTGGGACCTCTGA